CTCACTGGTCCACACACTGTCCACACACTGGTCAATCCGTTCTCACTCCCTGACTCACATAAGGACATATAGTCAAGAGCCATTGTTGTCAGTTGCCGTCATAGTTGAGTGTATTGGGGGACGCCCTGTAGCGTAGCTTTTTGACGGTAAAGGCAGGTATATGATATTTAACAGAAAAGACTGAGTAAGGAGGTGGTTGGGGTTGATTTTTCTGTTGATGTTTTTCTTCACAGCATCAGTTGCTGATGTTACTGATAGCGAGTTTATCTGATCTCGGTCTCCAGATCCAGAGTTTCCCTCATTTTAGGCTTAACATACTACACAAACATAGTTTTCAATAATCCTGTTTTCTGAAACAGGGCCCAGGTCTCTCCCTCCCCACCATCCCTTCAACTCTCTCCTCAGGAGGCCTACCTCATAGTTTGAGGGTCAGATCACTCAAACAACTTACCTTTAGGGCATCTCGTCTTCCAAGTAGGTTTGGTTTTATTTGCCCATGAAATATCCATTTCCACTAGACTGGAGGTAAATGCTCACAGAATACACTGCAAACAGTCTTCAGTGGAGCATTTTACCAATTAGGCCCTTGAACTGTTCACTGTGAGGTGTGCAGATAATCCAGAGTGACAGGAACACAATGGTTCTGGAAAGAGATTTAATTTGTCATTGTGTTCAAAGCCTTAAGCACAACAAACTGAATTCCATTCACCTCCACTTTATTGGTGATTGCAGAAATCTTGTTACGATCAAATATGCCGAATACAACCAAAACCACTTTTTTGTTGGTGCATTCATGGATCAGATGTACCCTAAAGCTTTCCAGTCTTGTCAATGTTTTGTTGAAGTTGTTTCTCTGCTACACATCCTGTTACCCACTGAAATGTCAATATTGTCTGTCTTGTGGCTGATGTCCAGTTTCATTCTGTGTTTTTTAGTGAAGAGAAAGTCTTATGACAATGATGATTCATAAGTTAAATATTCTGATAAAGGTGATGAGAAGAGATTGATTTAGATACATCCAGTAAAAGATCATCAGCAAACTGAGAAATATGTCCTATGGAGACATTCGGTGGCACTTACTGAAATAGAACTAGCATAGAATTGAATCAATCAGTCATTTTTGAAATTTGGATTAAAGCTGACAGCTGTTTAAAGCCTTTTTCAGTCACTTTGAAAATGCTTTGAAAACTTAGAGCTCCAGCTAATCTACAAAATTCACTGTTGTGCATGCTGTGTGGTCAGGATGTGGTAGTCTTGCTGGTATATTGATATGGAGGAAGTGCTGACGAAATTGAAACAGAAGTTAAAACTCAGTGTAATGCTCAGTAAGTAATTTAACTTGCCCTCTGATCTTTTCCGCCACCATTTCTCTGTTCTTCTTCCAACCACTTTAGCACCTAATTTTCATTGATTGTCCTTTTCTTACAATTGTAGCTTGCTCATAAATCAATCTAGAATAATCTTGATGATCCATGTGTTACCTACCACCGCCTGTGTCTGTGCCTCTGCAAACTCACCGCATACCAAATACAGACAACAATTGCATATTAAAATGACACAAACTTTTTTTAAAGTGTTAAAGGAGAAG